TTGTACAATGGAATCCTTCAAACTGTATAATCCTTGTTAATAAAAATCTTCCTTATTTTTAATAATGACAGAGATATCCAAGGTGATCAAAATTATTTTCGTATATACAGGGTGTGCTTTAGACAAAAGTGTTCCATTTAAAGTGGGAAAAGAAGTATGTTGACGTTTTATAATTTTGTAAATACTTTCAGGGTGAACTCCATTTTGTAACACGAAAATTTACATTTTTCTGAGCTAATTTTTAATTTTCGGAAAAAATGGCTAATTTTCTTTAAAACTTTTTTTATTTGATACGCATCTTTCAAAACACTACTCTTAACACGGAGATAGATTTTGTGTGAACTAATTTTTTCATTATTATTATTAAGTAACTAAATTACGTAGTTAACTAACTAATATTTAATTAAGTAACCAATTGTAAGTTAAAATCAAAATTAATTTTCAGCTCTATTTTATTTTCATCAAGTATCATATCAAATTAACTATTGAAACACAAAATCGTATTTTGTCAATACCATTTACTTAATCAAAAAATTTCCAATTTCTTAAGCTTGTAGAAAATTTTGGTTCCAATTGTAAGACCAAATACCATCTCTGTTGAATAATTAACTCTATGCACTGGACGATTTTTTGGCTTAAGAAGAATAGGAGTTCAAAGATTTTCTGGTATAAAGCTGACGATATTTTTTTGAGCAGTAAATAAGAAATCGTATAATAATTAACACGTAGAACTATTTAATTTCGATACCTCGCACACCGTTAAATTATTTTACATTTGACATACTAATTAATATCGAACTTCGAAATTTTATCAAATGGCGATTAAAGGGCGCCTTTAACACACCGTTAAATTATTTTATATTTGACATACTAATTAATATCGAACTTCGAAATTTTATCAAATGGCGATTAAAGGGCGCCTTTGGAGATCAAAGGGTTAATACTAATTTTTCAATCTTTCTATTACAATTATCTATTTATTCCCTCTGTTAGATGTGACAGTTCCAACCATAATTAAAATTCGTATCTTTAGTTATAAATAATTATGACTAATCAGATAGACATTCCTTCTTCGGAAGTGTGTAAACTCCCGAGTTTAGTTTAACAAGTCAGCGCAAGTGGCGCTGTAGACAGTTGGTAACTAACCTAGTTCTACACAAGAACTGAAGTTCCGAATTGGCGGGAAATACAAATTCTACGTCGCTATATAAATACGTACGACTATACAAATATTCGTTGGTCGTAAAATAACAATGAAACTCGTGATATGAAATAATTCATAATCCAAGGATAAATCGTTGGTTTAACGTTACGAGAAATGAAAAATATAATCGTGGATATTTTAATGTGAAACGAAGTCGAATAATAAATAAAGATATTTGTATTCCGCTGGTTCGCCGTCGAATCATTTTTACAGACAGTGTTTGAACATGGAATGACAGTGAACGAAATTGAAGCGTCTGCTGTTGTATCAAAACACGACGTTATCGGTCGATATATGAAAAGGTCTAGGGAAGATCGGTTAATTAATCGCCGGCAATTTCGCCTGGGGAATTTCGTTCTGTCGAACTCGTTTATTTATAATTGGGGTTTTATCAAAAAGTGATATGCTGCGAGGCAAATAAATTCGAGTAATTTATTTTCGGAACGTTTTACCTATTGAATGGTGATATTGATTTTGGTCTTCTTTTGAATCAGTTAATTAAGCGTGGTTATATAATTGGTATTCAATTAGAGACTTTGTTTTGATAAATAATGCAA